CGCGGGTGGAATCCCGGGGGGAGGGTGCCCGCGTGCGAGGGCTGCCTTAAACTACCGGTTTGCGGGCAGCGGGGCGTGTGGGCTGCGGAGACCCGGGGTGCCCGGGGTCCGAGGCGTCCCCCCCCCCCGGGGAGCGCGCAGGTTCTCCGGAGCCCCGAGGGCAGGTGAGGGCCTGGCTGGCAGCGGAGCGGCGCCTGGCGTGGGGCCCGCACGTCCCGGGAGAGTCCCCCACTCCAGGGATGGAGGTTGACGGGGTTGGTGCGAGGCGTCCGGATTTGACCGGGCGGAGAGGAAGACTAAAGAGGGGATTCCTTTCCCAGGAAATCCTTTACCGTGGGGATCCCCGTTTCCGTGGCAAAAAAAAAAAAAAAAAAGAAAATACCAAAATCCCTTACATCAATCCCTTTCTTGCCCGCTGCTCCCAGTCTTCGGGGAAAGGCAGTGCCAGTAGCAGGCATCCTTTGTAGGGCTTACTGGAGTGAGGGATTTGTATCCTTTGGGGGGCGTTGGGGGGGGGATGGCTTCCACCTCCATCTGTACACAAACAGCCCCTCCCCCAGCCTCCCGCAGGAAGTGGCCGGGAAATGGCAGCTGTGCATTTGCTGCTGCGTCTCTTGTTGTTTTGAAATGTCCATTTTAATCTGATTTGGTTTCATTTTCTGAGGCCTGGGCAACCTTGGATCCTGCCAGACATGTGGCCTCAGAGACCTTTCATTAGACTTTTTAAAACTTCATTTATGTAGTAGTCAACTACAGTTGACTCACTGATCCTGATTCCATCCACACCCCCCCCCCCTCCCTGCAAAGGATCTCTGCCTTCCAGTCTGGATTTATTTTTCTTCTTGAGCTAGAGGTCATAGAGAAACAAATTCAGTGATCCACCAGCTGCATCAATTAAGTACAAGTGATTTAGATGCTCTCAACATACAAGCTGCAAGAAAAGACTTGGGATCTCTTGTGTCAGGAGAGTGGCTTCTTCAGACAGTTTGGATATTTCAGAGCATCTGAGCAAGTGAATTTGTGAAGTGAATAAGGGTAGATTCTCAAAGTGGAAGAAGAGAAGAGGAAATCTGCATAGCTTTTAGGATCTGTATATGACTAAGTTTTTTTTTTTTTTGATATTGGTCGGTTGTAGGGCTTGAGCTCAGGGCCCTGGCTCTGTCGCTGAGCTCTTCAGCTCCAAGGTTAGGGCTCTACCACTTTGAGCCATAGCTCCACTTCTGGCTTTTGAGTGGTTAATTGGATAAAAGTCTCATGGCCACTTTTCTGCCCTGTCTGACTTCGAACCACAAACCTCAGATCTCATCCTCTCAAGTAGCTAGGATTACAGGAATGAGCTGTAGGTGCCCCAGCTTGACTAAGTATTTGTAAATCAGGGATTCAGAGTGGTAAGCTTGTTCCTGAGAGGTGATTCTAACTTAAGGAGAGTTTGTGGGAAGCCTGTTGTTGACTGAAGTTCCTGGAGGTTTTATCATCTGCAGAACAAAGAGAATAAAAGAGTTCTTACCATCTGCCTCCCCCCCCCCACTTTTTTTTTTTTTTTGCCAGTCCTGGGGCTTAACCCAGAGGGCCTAGGTGCTGTCCCTGTGCTTTTTGCTCAAGCCTTGCACTCTGCCACTGAACCACAGCTCTGCTTCCAGCTTTTTTGGTGGCTATTTGGTGATAGTTTCACAGACTTGATTGCCTGGTTTGGCTTTGAACTGCAGTCCTCAAAATCTCCGATTTCTAAGTAGCTAGGATTACAGGTATGAGCCACAGGTGCCCAAATGACTTAATTCACTTTTTCTTTTCTTCTTTTTGATTGGTCCTGGGCCTTGATCTCCGGGCCTGGACACTGTGCCTAAGTTCTTTTTTCTTTTTTTTTTTTGGTTTGTTGTGGGATTTGAACTCTGGGCCTGGGCCACTGTCCCTCAGCTCTTCACCTCAAGGCTAACAGTCTACCACTTGAGCTTCAGTGCCACTTCTGGTTTTCTGGTGGTTTATTGGAGATCAGAGTTTCAAGGTCTTTCCTGCCAGGGCTGGCTTTGAACCACAATCCTCAGATCTCAGCCTCTTGAGTAGCTAGGATAACATGTGTGAGCCACCGGCGCCCCTAATGTCTTTTTTGTTCAAGGTCAACACTCTACCACTTTGAGCCACAGCACCACTTCTGGTTTTCTGATAATTAACTAGAAATAGGATTCTCATGGAACTTCCTGCCTGGGCTGACTTTGAACTGCTCTCAGCCTCCTGAGTAGCTCTGAGCTTCCTGAGTAGCTAGGATTATAGGCACCAACCCTCAGTGCCCACCTATTTTACTTCTTTGGTGATGATCTTGAGGCTTGAACTCAGGCCCTGGGCAGGTTCCTAAGCTTTTGTGCTCAAGGGTAGTGCCCTGCCACTTCGGCCACAGCTTTTGGTGGTTAATTGGGAAAAAGAATCTTGTAGACTCTTACTTCTGCTGGTTAATTCATCAGACCAGGCTGCCTTTCAACTGTAATCCTCAGATCTCAGCTCCCTGAGTAGCTAGGATTACAGGTGTGAGACACCAGCACCCAGCTCTATTTTGCTTTTTTTTGGTCAGTTGTGGGGCTTGAACTCTGGGCCTGGGCCCTCTCTGTCAGCCCTTCAGCTCAAGGCTAGCACTTGACCCACAGCAACTTTTGTTTTTTTCTGGTGGTTTATTGGAGATAAGAGTCTCATGGACTTTCCTGTCCAGGCTGGCTTTGAACCTTGATCCTCAATATCTCAGTCTCCTGAGTAGCTAGGAATACAGGTGTGAGCCACTAGCTTGCAATTTCCTTTTTCTCTGCTTTGTCTGTTGGAGCTAGCTCAAATCTTGCTCAGCTTCTTGAGTTGGTACTGGCTTAAATCTTGCTCAGCCTCTTCAGTAGCTAGGATTATATGTATTAATGTTACCTGTCTTCCTTTTTTTTTTTTTAACTTAACCTAAAAGAGTTTTTGGAGTATAAACCCATGGCTCACGCCCTTAATACTAGCTATTTCAGGAGGCTGAGATCTGAGGATCTTGTTTCAAATCCAGCTGGAGCAGAAAAAGTTCCTGAGCTTTTTCTCCAGTTAGTAGGCAGAAAGAGGCTGGAAAGGTGGCTGGCTCAGTGGTAGAGTGCTTGCCTTGCATGCAAGAGGCCTGGGTTTGATTCTTCAAAACCACATAAGCAGAAAAAGCCAGAAGTGGCACTGTGGCTCAAGTGGTAGAGCACTAGCCTTGAGCTGAAGAGCCCCATGACTGACTTAAAAAAAAAAAAAAGGACAGAAAGCTGGAAATGGCCTGGTGCCAATGGCTCACATCTGTTTTCACAGCTGTTCAGGAGGCCACGATCTGAAGATCCAAGATTTGTTTGTTTGTTTTTTTTTTGGTCGGCCATGGGGTTTGAACTCTGGGCTTGGGCGCTGTCCCTCAGCTCTTCAGCTCAAGGCTAGAGCTCTACCACTTGAGCCATAAGCACCACTCCCGCCTTTTTTCTTTTTGCTTATGTGGTGCTGGGGAATCGAACCCATGGCGTCAAGCATGCAAGGCAAGCGCTCTACCACTGAGCCACCTTCCCAGCCCAAGATCCAAGATTTGAATCCAGCCAGTGCAGGAAAAATCCATGGGATTCTTACCAGCACCCAGGTCCTGAGTTCAAACCCCAGCACTCTCCCACCCCCATACACATAGGAGCACAGCACTGGTGGCTTGCACTTAGATCTCAGCCATCTCAGCATCCTAAGTAGATAGGATTATAGGGATCATGGTTCAGAGTCAGCCTAGGTGGAAAAGAGAGACTCTTTATCTCCCCAAAACTACCCCAAAAAAGCCAGAAGTGGAGATGTGGCTTAAGCTCTAGCCTTGAGCAAAAAACAACGAAAACCTCAGGGACAGTGCATAAGCCCTGAGTTTAAGCCTTAGGACTGGCACCACAAACAAACAAAAAAAATAGAATTTTTGAGGTATAGAGACAATTATGTGGACTGACCTCAGCCCATCAGAAATCTAGAATGCCTTGAGAGGTTCATTTTTCAATCTTGGTGGTTCTGGAATCAGCTGTTGCCATGAGAGAAGCAGAGCCCATTAGGGCTACTGACTGTTTCTGGTGTTGGCTTTTGTTTTAAAGTACCAAACTGTCATCCTTT